AAATCAATGCTGAATTCCAGATGCCAGGAGGGCAGGGGAGGGAGGATGGAAGGATGAAATGAGAGCATTTGTTTGCAATTCTAATATAACAAATCAACAGATCACCAGGCAAAGGTGCCTAATGAAAATGCACATGATGGACGCGGGTGGGTGGAGAGAGGAAGGGAGGGAAGGAAAGCCCAGGCACAGGCCTACTGAGGAATTCAGAGGCATCTGTGTCCACTGTGACCCTGCTACCAAGAGCAAGGGCACCAGGACCAGCTAGCCTGAGGCGGGAGGCCCAAATCTGCCCCTGACCATCATGTGGCCTTGCCCCAGTTACCTTACCTTCCTGTTCCTTCATTTCCTTCTCTGCAAAGGGGGGCTGTTAGGAACACCCACCAGATAGGGTTTTCATGAGGATAAAATGAGGTAACTGGGATAGCCAATGCCTGTTGTATGGGAACAGCTATTATTTATTTTCTTATTTAAAACCCTCATCAGGGTGCCTGGTGCATAAAGTTAATGCCCTTCCCCTCCTCGGGGCAAATTGAAAGCTAAAGAAGATGGAGAGGTTGGAGCCCAGATATCACCATCCAGGCCACGTCAAGGCCTTCACCAGGTTTCCTCTCTGGGCCCCTCAAATAAAACCAACAGATCCAGTCTTCTCTAATTCTGCTTTCAAATCACCTTCTATACAACATGGGATAGGTATTTAATAGCACAGGGTCTGGATTTCCTCGTGTGTGACGTCATGGTAACGGTGCCTAGCTTAGCAGGCTATTGCAGGGGTGAAACGCAAGGTATTCTGGGAAGGTTTTTTGTTCTTAGCTCACCTTTACTGGTGTGTATGAAGTGTAGTCTCTGGTGTGAGTGGGCTATGTGCACTATCTCATTTAACCGTTAACAACCGCAAGGAGTTTGTACTGTTGTTCATTTATGACTCGGGGAGAGTTAGTCTGACTAGTTATGCCCAAGGCCATACCTGCCTGTTCTTAGCCTCAGCCTGGTGGTCGCCCTGCCCTGAGGCCTTCTCTTCCTCCATCTGAGCTGGTGTGCTTTTCTCAACATGGCACAGAGCTGAGTTGGACCTATTAGGGGGATAGCTCAGTTTTCAGAGCTGGGCGAACAATCCCCTTCATCGAGAAGTACCTGTGAGTTTTTCCCCTGTAATTGTGGCCTTGATTTTTACCAGCTTATCATGTGAGCGTGAGAGACTGTGTCAACCACATCAGAAGGCAGAATCTCTGAGGGAGGACATAAGGAGAGCCCAGCAGGGTTCCCAGTGACAAGGAGAACTTCCTGACATTCTTCGGTACCACCCAGAGCACTCCATCCCGCTGGAGGGGGTGAACAGAATCTCTGAAGAGATCCACAGAATTTTGTTTTCATGCTTCTCTCTTTCTTTCCTTATAGACAGAAAAGTGAGGTACTTAAATGGTCTGACCATGAAATTGGGCAAGATTTTCCAAACCGTATACTTACCCTCTTTTCACAACCGGGCACATTTCAGAGCATTTTGGGTGTGAAAGAAACCATTATCTACCCAGGAGTGAGTACACAGTTTTGTAGGGGTGATGTGTGCTATAGAATAAAAGTTTGTGTCCCCCCTCAAAATTCATAAGTTGAAAACCAATCCCTAATGTGATGGTATGTGGACAAGGAGATTTGGGGGAGGTGATTAGGTCATGAGAGTAGAGTGCCCTTATGAAACAGGCCCCACTGAGCTCTCTGGCCCCTTCTGCCTTATGAGGACGCAGCACGGAGAGGGCTGTCTATGACCCAGGAGGTGGGCTCTCACCAGTGAATCTGCCGACACCTTGACCTTGGACTTCTCAGCCTCCAGAACTGTGAGAGGGAAAGTTCTATTGTTTATGAGCCATTCATTCTATGGTATTTTGTTATAGTAGCCCAAATGGACTAAGAATGCAATAATTGCTGATTCATCCCCTGGAGATAGGTCATTTGTATACTCTCACCCATGGCAATAGGCAACTAGACGTGTCTGTGTATCTGTGACGTGTGTTCCTTGGACATGCCCCACAGGGGCTCTGTTGAGGGCACATGAGTGGATACTGAGGCAGGCATGCCCACTCAACTATTGTGAAGAGAGGGCTCCAAAAGCTTAAGACAGAAAAATCAGATGGTTTGGGATGTGAGTTACTCCAGAAAAAAAAAAAAAAAAAAAAAAAAAAAAAAAAAACTCTTCTCATCTGCTTCAGAAATAACAGAAGGAGCAGGGGGCAGATTTGGAATAATCCAAATTGGATTTGGCGAGGTGATTTGGTTGGCCAGATCGGGGATTTAATGAGAACCAAGCTTAAGGAGAAGCCCTTTAATGGGCCTGATGGCACCAGTGTTCGCTGTGTGGGAGCAGGGATGGTGACTGTCAGGTTCTTCTGCACTTCTAGAAAAATGGACTCGCATGAACACTCTACAGGTGGTGGGTAGCACAGCCCTCAAATGTGGGGAAGGCGGAGAACGTGTGTGGCTTAGTGGACTTGGTGCCTACCCACTGGTAGTCATACCCTCACTCAAACCTGATCATCCCTCCCACCCCACACCAGCACGAACCTTCACAAGATGTGCACCAGGCTGCCTGGGATTCCTAGAACGTGTATCCCTTGCCACCTGCCGCTCAGGGTGCTCAAAATGCAGCATATGGTCCTCGTTGTCCACAAGGGAGTTAATTCCTGAAAATATATCTGAGTTAAAGGGCATTGCTAAGGAGGGTGAGGTAAGTGTTTGGTTCAATTTCCAAATTGAAGAAGTAAAGTATGTGTGGGAGAGAATTTCAAAATAAAAGTTTCAGGTTCTAGACAAAAAAATAATAACGAGGGCTAAAATTGAGCAAGAGAATGCTCTTAAATTCACCGAAATGTTTTGGATCTGGCTCAGTTTGTAAGCCGCGCTTTTGGGGAGAAGGGACCGCATAAGGGGGGGTCCCCTGGAATTCACAGAGGGAATGTGTGGCCAGTCAATGCCGGCTTGAGTACACAGAACGATGATAATTGAATGGGTTCATGGTCCTCTCTGCTCATTGATAGGATCAGCCTATTATTGTGTTTCCTGGAATGGAAGCACACATTTTTAAAAAGAAGTGATGCCAGATTCGTTTTAATTTGAGAGAAGTGCCAATTTAGAAAATGAAGGGGAACCCTGGAGATGCTACATGTTGGTCTTCGGAAATTTTCTCTGCTGAATCCTCCAGTGACAATATTTTCCCTTCAATGTAATGAAGAAAAGATACAGACGTGAGGTTAATTAAGAGGGATGTATCTAAAGGAAGGCTGAGTAGGGAGCAATCCAGGGGGACGTGGCCATGACCACCAGCAGCAGCATCGTCACCACCCTTGATTCCTATCGACTGAGCATGTGCAGGGAAACAGATCATGGGCCCACTGGCAGCTAGAAATCAACACTAGAAACATCGGGCTGAGAGGGCATGGAAGTCACAGTCATGAAGCCATCAGTCTGTCTTACCATTCAGAGGGAAAAAAATAATATACAGAGTGTCAGTAGAATTGGGTTCTGGGAAGAAAATTGCCCAGCTGATTTGAACTTCAGGTAGCAAGACTCCTCTTTCTGAAGGCTTGGGACTTGACAATGTGCTCACAAGCAGCCCAGGAGATGGGAATGCTCCCCCAAAGAGAATAAGGTGTAAAACAGATGATGCCACTGATTGGATTTGCCTTTGCTGCAGAAAAACAACCACGAGGGGAGGGCTGGCTCTGAGCACCAGTGAAGGAATATCTTCCAGTGAGGTAAAGCTTCCTGCTCCTCCACAGAACTTGGGGGTGCTGAGCCCTGAGAGACACCAAAGGTGTGAAAAGCAGCAGAGAGGTCTGCTGTCCTGGTGGTTCTCCTCGGTGACGAAGCCTGGGGTGGGGGCAGGCGGGTAGCCTGTTGCACAGCTGGAACATCACAGGCTCAGCCGGTTAGAACTAACACTGTTAACAGCCTCTAGGACCCTACTAGCATCACCCTGCCAACATCAGTCAGCCTCGGGCGTAATGTAGGGGTTTGACCTCTCAGGGCCATACCAGACCCAACAATCTAGAAGCACAAGTCCACCAGATCAGGGCGAGATAAGTCAGAGCGACTCCAAGAAGAAGCCACCCAGAAGAATCCAGAGCATTGCTTCTGGTGCCCTGTTGAATGCCCGTCTTTCATACTAATTTCTAAGCTCCGGATGCCTGGGATTGTTTTTGTTCCACACATGGCTGGTGCTTAGCCCAGTGCCTGGAACACAGTGGGTACTTGGTAAGTGCTTATTAAATGCATAAGATGAGTTTGTAGAGGGAGACTTCTCTGAGCAACAACATTTGGGAGGGCAAAGGTCAGAATCTAAAATAAAAATGCAAAAGAACAGGAATGATCCCATGGAGAAGCAGCAGATTGGAATCCAGAAAGAAAACGTAGGTGGTGGGGAAGTTGCCCATTCGCGAAAAGTAAAAATCTTGAGGCATTCCCAAGAAGCAAGGGGGTGGAAAGGACATCTGTTAAAACTTCTGAAAATGGACTGGGTGCTGGGCGGGGGAGTGCTTCATTCGATCTTTCCAGGTTTTTAAGCCCTTTGTTTTCTGTTTCTCTGTTTACTTACACGCAGTCGTACGCACAACTGGCAGGCTCACCTCTCCTGCCGTCATCTGGGACCTCTGTGGTCCTGGGCCCTGAGATCCAGGCTGGTGACTCTGAACGTATTCCTTTCATCTCCAACTCTTTGCTCCTGACTGATAACTTCCTCTGCATTCCTCAGACCTAGATTTGTCCTCACTTTTGTCCCTGGGTCTCCCAGGACAGCCCTGAAGGTCAAGTGTAACCATTTGGGGTCTGGGAGCCTCCTTTCACCTCTGACTCTGACAAAGTGGTGACTTGAGGGCAGGAATGTCACCCTTAATGCTACTTTGTAAAGCAGTTGGCACTCCTCATCCTGAGGGGCCCTCCAAGTGCAGCCTGGTAAGACCTCCGGCCTCATTAAGCCGGGTCTACCTTTGGGAACACCATTCTCTGACATTCAGCCTTTATTGGCCTTGGGCAAGTCATTTGTTGAGAGACCTTTGTTCCCCTGACTGGTGGCCAAGCAATAGGATTATTATTTGACTGAATAGGTATTTTAAATGTGGTACAGTCAGGATATGCATATACGTATATATTTATAATCAGGATAATATAGGCAGGATATATATCTGTATATCTACATAGACATGCTACCGCTCTACAAGCTTGGGATCCCTGGGCCGTGTCCAGTGCTTCTAAGCCTGGGTTCCTCACTTGGGGCTGTCCATGGGAGGTAAGAGATTTCTGTTATTATTCTCAGTTCAGTTCAGTGAGCACATATGGAGGACACACACTAGACCAGGCACTTTGCTGGGCCCTGCAAACCCAGAAAGGTTTAACTGTGGCCTGAGAAACTCCCAGCCCCACTTACAGATCAGTCTTCTAAACCAGTATAAAGGGAAGCATCTTGTCGTAGCAAGCTCAGCGACAAAGCCATGTTTAGATAACCCTTTCAGAATTTGTATGTTGTGCGAGGCAGGTGAGATGCAGTCTCATGGGGCAAAAGCCAGCTTGGGGGATTGTCTGTGACTGATTTGCAAGACATAGGTTCTAGCTCTGTCTCTGATGGAAACTCACCACGTGAATGTGGATGGGCCATAATGTTGTTTACCCTGGAAGGAACCGTGGGGCCCCTATTGCTGTGATAGGATTGAAGAAGGTGAGGTTTTGGTACTCCAAGCCTTAGGTTGCTCCATATATAAAATAGAAATAATAATGCTTACCTCCTTTACCTTACATGGATTTTAAGAAATAAAATGTGAGAACAGCTGTCAGAACGTTTTGGAAGAATCAGCATATAGCCATCTTGATTCTGCCTCTGGAGGCAAGCGTTGCCCTGCTCACCAGCCTTCTTCGCTCCTCATTCCCTTCTCTATTGAGTGCCCAGTGAAACCCTATAGAGCCCAGCAGGGCTGCCTAAAAAGAGAGTCAGATACAATTTTAAAAACATTCTACTTACGGGCAAAAATCCCATAGCAGCAGTGAGGCCCTGACCCCTGTATAGTTGACTCTTTCCACAAACAAGCGCCTGATAATCACCCTTCATGGTGAAATATTTGATTTATTCTATGGAGGTTCATTGAAGGGCCTTTAAAAAAGGAAGCTGTGTAAAAACATTTGCTAGCAGCTTTAGGGAAAGGGAGGAAGGAGCAGAAAGAATTACGACCACACATCCTTGGAATTGTTATCATATTAAGCCTGTTTCCATGAGTGGATGGATTTTCTGATGCAGTCGGGTATCTTGCTTCTGGACAGTGAAATTGCTATCCTCTGCCACAGAATAAATTACCTGTCAGGCTCTTTTAAGCGGTTTCAGGATGGTTAGTTTGAAGACAGCAGCACACGCTGGGGAAAGCAGGCGGGTCCAGGGTGGGGAGAGTGTACTTTCAAAAGTTACCGTTTGTGTGTCATAGTGTTATTTGCTGTGTCGTGTTGATCTGGTGTGATTTGACAGCTGCGTGTGAGAGGCAGCAGCCTCAAAGAATTGTGAACTGCCCTCCAGGTGTTTATCTGTGCAACACATGTCTGTGCAAGGCAGTGGGGAAGGGAAACCGAGCCTCCCTTTTTAAACACAGGAGTCCTGGCATTTTCCTGCACGATGAAACTCAGAACTTTCATGGTTGCCTCACTGTGGGGAGATGGGAGGATGTAACTGATTCCTAAGAAGTGGCAGCAATGCACAACCCACACGGACCCATGCACGTGCACGCACACACGCATGCACACGCACAGAGTAAGGTTTTCCAATTAGCTAGCCAGAAGCATATTATCCTAATCCCATAAAGCTTCAGAAAGCACCACACTACTCATGCAGCTTTAGGACATTTTCTGAGGCCAGGAACCAGATGCTTCTCACCCGGGTAATCTCCCACTTGGCAGGGCCTGGAGGACCACAGGTAAAAAGGCATCAGTATTAAAACATTTGCTAGTGGCTTTAGGGAAAGGGAAGAGAGAGCAGAAAGAATTACTGCCACGAATTTTGGTTGATCACCTACTGAGTTCAGGGCTTGCCCCTTTCACCAGCGGTTTGCCAGTGTTTGGGTTCCAGAAGCTGAGCAGAAAAGGACCCCCTGTCTCCCACAAACACCTCTACCCAACGTGTCACCTAAGGTGAATAAGGAGTGTAGTCATGCATTGGATATATGCATAAGCATAGGCTGATGCATATGTATGTGTATGTGTATAGATATGTATGTGTATAGATGTGCGTGTGTATGTGTGTGTGTGTGTGTGTGTGTTATGTAGCTAGCCAAGTAAATTACTTATTCATGTGTTCTAAAGCATGGATTGTCACACATTCTGAGAGACCTATCTGTAGACAGCCTATATGATCTTCAGAGGCTTCCAGAGATGACTTCTTTCTAAAGGGCTAGCCTTCAAGATCGCCGAGCCTGAGCAAGGTGGTCCTGCATCTGTGGGCCATGTGTCTGAAGCTCCGGCACCTGCCAGCTGAGCTTCAAGTCACGGGGCAGCTGGATCTGGCAGAGACTATTTTCTGCTTCTCAATTCCCTCCAGGCCAAAGATAAAACGAAAACTGCAGTTTTGAATGATACCTGGGCTGCTGAATGAACCAGAGACGGTTAACATTCTTGCCGAGAGTAAAGCATGTTATACGTGGTAATAATTGCAGGTTATAGCTTGCTGTCTGGGATGAAGGGTTTAAAATGGACATTCCAGTTCATCTCAACGCCGGTTGAAGAATTAATATGTCCACATGTTTCAGAGCGTCATGGCACGTTAAACCTTAGACACCATCCTGTAAAAGCCTTTCAACGACTTGCCGTCCAGCGGTGGCCAGTTGATTTGGAACACAGTTTTTGTTTTGATATGCTGACAATCAGTCATCAGGGAGATTGGGGAAAAAAACCCATTAACCCAAGAATAGAATTGTCGATATTAAGCACATCTAAACCTATACAGAATTGTATTTCTTTAAAGCATCTATTAGATTGTTAGCCAATGCTGGGCATTGGGCTAAGGCAGGCTGATGGTTGGCAAGTGAAAACTATGGGTTACTGCCATGGCTTGACATCAGAGTTTTTGCTTTACCATGACACTATATGACACTTTGAAATATATGTTGGACTGAGGTTGTCTGACTACAGGTATCATTCTATGCTAATACTCATTGTGTGGTCATGAAGTGGGCATTTGCATGTTTGCCTGGGAAACACGAACCATAGCTGAGCTGCAGGTAATAACATCTATCTGACACTCCCCTACTTTTACTGCCTCATTTTAGACCTTTGATGGGGGCTCGAAAATAATAAAATGAATATGTATTGAGCACCTAGTACATGCAAGGCACTGTAGCCAGTGCTTTATCTATGCGTTATATCATAAAAGAAACCCTCTGAAAGAGTTGCTTAATACGACCTACATCTCCTAGATGAGGAAATCAAAGCTCCAAGGGGTCACAATTTAACCAGAATCTGTGGTCTTAACCACTTTTAACCTCAAGTTATTAGGGCATGCTTTTGGCACTGTTTGTATGTTGTGCTGAGACCTTCCCATAGAGTGCACCAAAGCCGTGGCCTCCCCCATGGAAGGTCCCAGGTCAAGAGTGACCCCTTTTCAGGAGGCGAGCATCATGCCCCTACAACCGCGAACACACACGCAGTGTGGCTCCTGCCACCAACCTTTGCCTCACCCCCAGCCTTCCTCTCGCTGAACCCGTGGCTTTGTCTTGGCTCTTGCCTGCTCCCGCTCATGCTCCTTCCCCCCCCCCCC